TCAATACAGACTTCCACACACTGGTCCTTCCTTCTCAATGTCTTATCTCCCTTCCGACTGTCTCTTACTCTATGCTCCAGTCAAAGTGAACTTCTGTCTGCTTCCCAAACACATCTTGTGTTTCCCCAAGTCAATGGTTTTGGCTTATGCTTTTTGTCGCTGTCGTTGTTGTTCTCCAACAACAGGGATAACCTCTCTTTATCTCCTAGGCATCCTCTCCCCAGCTGAAGACCTGAAGGTAGGAACATGTGAATTCCTCCCTAGATCCCCTGGGTCTAGCCTAGCGCCCGACATAAAATAGTCAATGAGGTCTGCTGGATTTGATTGAATGCACAAAGGTCAACTTTGTACCCCAGGTTGGAACCAAGCGGGGTGATGGAGAGGAAATCACTTCCTGGCTTGGATGCACACGTACTAAACTCGCAAACGAAGGCAGAGGGGAAATGGAGAAGGCACTTAGAGCACCTGCTCCCACGTAACTGAGCACACCCAGTTCTCCCAGCAACGCTCAGGCGCCATTCCTCTCCCCATTCCACAGATGACACACTGATTCTCAGAGAGGTCACCATCTTGCAGCTAGGAAGTGGCCAATCCTAGCCACTGGGCTTGTTGGGCTCTTTCACGCTCCCTCCAGGAGAAAGCTAAAGGTACTACTCAATCCTCAAGTTTTACTTGCTACCAATTATCAAGGATTTGGCTGGGTTTTTGGTGGGGCTAACCAGCCTAGCAGAGGACAACGCTGTGCCGAGGAAGGCACTGTAGCTGGGTTGCAGCTGTATCCACAGAAAACCAACCTCCACTCAGGGTCAGTCATCCCCAGGCAACCACCTCAACTTCCCAGCTGCTCGTCCTCCTGTGTTCTGAATCTCAGGTATGGGTCCATGCCCCAAACCTGGGGTCCACTTTCTCGTCCTCTCTTGGCCCTACGTCTACCACATTATGGAGTCCCCCTTTCCTTGACCTCTCTCTAATCCATCCCCTCCTCTCCATGCCTCCTGACACTGCCTTCATTCAGAGCCTTGTCTATCTCCCCAGGACCCCTCTACCTCCCTGCTGCTTCCATAACAATCTTTCTAAAGCAAAATCATGCCACTTTCCTCCTCAAACTCTTTCAAAGGTTGAGCATCACCTTCAAGATAAAATTCAAATTCAATAACTTGATACACGCAGCCAAGAGTGATATTTGAAATACTTAACAACCTGCACAGTTTTTCCTATCACTGGGCACCAATTAAACAAAACAAACTCCAGCCACAGTGCTGGGGCAGGGTCCTGAAGGCCCCCTGCTGGGTCAGAGGTTAACATTTTAGTTGTCGAATCAATCACAGGGAAGTCGAAGGGTCCCTGCAGGGAGGTGCCAGGATTGCAAGGGGCACCCCAGAGACGTGGGCCAGTAGCTATTTTCCAACCAAGATGGAGGTATTACAGTATTTTAATGGCCAGGACAGCCTTGCTGAGTGTACCTGATGAATATCAGCTCTGCACACAGCCCATTGTGAACCAGCCCCTTGCCAAGTCCCCGCTCTCACCACTGCTCCCACAACGCCCACACTTCAGGGACACAGAATGGGCCTCCTTCACCTGGAGTGCTCTTCTTGGTGTCCTTTCTAGCCCGAGTGTCATCTGGTCCCCGCAGGAGTAACCTCCTTGCTCTTCCGCTGGGATCCTAGAATGCCAGGGGCATAATCACACTGCTGTTTCTTCTCCCCCATTTGCAGGGTCTTTGCCTTGTTTTTCACTGTCTCCACCAACCTTGCAAGAGAACTGAAGCACAGGAAATAATTGACAGCCACTTGTTCAACTGAGCAAAAGTGACCCTTGGGGCTGGGAGGAGCCTGTAGCCCCTGACTCAGGACAAAGCTGTGCAGCCACGGGGACTCATATATATATACCAAACGACCACACACAGCACACAGAATGGTCTCCACAGTGTGTTATTGTGCACTTTTCCCAAAAAGTTTTGAGCAATTGCAAGACACACACACATTGTTATATACTTATATTTATAAATTTTAGTCATGCCTATTAAACTATATGTACATTAAAAAACTAACATTTTGAACAGTAGAAAATACACACATTAATGCATTTTAAAGGATAAAATAATAACATACATAGAAGTTCTAAACTTTCCTTTTCACATCTCAACAGGCCGTCTTGTGTATCCCACTGGAAGCCACTACTCAGGTGCCGTGTGCCCTCCAGGCATTACACATAGGTCCACAGTGACCTCATCCTGGAGGGTCAATCTGCTCAAAATTCTAGTTTTCTACCACAGTCCAGATCGGATGCTAACGGCAGATTATTAGTATACTTGGATCTACCCTAGACATCACATGTTCTAACCTCTATAGAACAACAACAAAAAAAAATAGAAAGGAAAGAAAACCTTTAGAGCATCTTCTGTAGGGGGCAAATAAAGAAGAGCTAGAAGATCTAGGGCAGTGGTATCCAAATGGCAGATTTTCCCCCAGGGGCATTTAGCAATGTCTAGAGACATTTTTGGTTGTCACAAGTAAAAGTGTGCTACTGTCATCTAGTGGGTAGAGGCCAGGGATGCTGCCAAACCTCTTATAATGCACAGGACAGCCTCCCACAACAAAGAATTATCTGGACCCCAAAAATCGAGAAAGTGCCGAGGTTAGACAACCTTGGTTTGGAAGAAGGTCTAGAAGATTTGACTTGATCCTGCCCAAGTTCTGCTGTTTATGGGCAAGTCACTTAACTTCTGCAAACCTATTGCCGCCTCCGTAAAAGGTATGGATTCATTTATTTGTTCATTCATTCATTCACTCAACAGATGTTTCTCAAGAAATGAGGTTACAGCAGTGAACCATATTCAGTCTAACCCTAGAAAACAGTGAAAATTAAATAAGAAAATGAGCATAAAAGGCCCTTTATAATTTTGTAGTGTGCTCAACAGCCCCAAGGCAGCAGCTCTGATGTGACCGCACAGGTATCACATACGTAAGAGTGTTCTCTCTATTCAACAGTACTGACTTTCCAATCATTGACTGTATTTCATCTATTCCAAGATGCACAGAGATTCCTTTTTCTAACATCTCTGAATTAAAATAATTATGCTTTACAGCCATCATCAGCAAGGTGGCGGTCACGCTGTGGTTGTCACTAACTGTACACATGCAAACTTGGTCAGTATTCCTGGTAGACTAAAACTCTTTGGTGGTTCAGTCAAGAAACCATTGAAGGATGGTTCAAGGAAGAAATGTGAGTCCTGATGCTGTCTGAAAGCTTTCCATGGACACCTTATGGTAGGAGCAAGAATGACCTAACGGTAGGAGCAAGAATGCACCAGAATTAGTCTAGATGCTTGCAGATGGTTCAAACTGTTAAAGGACGTCTTTCCCTAGATAGAGCCCCAATCCACCCACCTCCAGTCCTGGTTTTGCCCTTAGGAGACTCACAGGCAGACCTAACTCTGCCCACCTAAGTCAGTGGTTCTCAGTCCAAGCTGAACATTAAAATGAATTAGCGAATTTTAAAAATACTGATACATGGTGGTCAGCCCGGTGCCGTAGCAGTTGAGTTCACACACTCCGCTGCAGTGGCCCGGGGTTCGCAGGTTCAGATCCTGGGTGCAGATATACACACCGCTTGTCAAGCCATGCTGTGGCGGCGTCCCATATAAAGTAGAGGAAGATGGGCACGGATGTTAGCCCAGGGCCAATCTTCCTCAGCAAAAAGAGGAGCATGGGTAACAGATGTTAGCTCAGGACTAATCTTCCTCAAAAAAAAAAAAAAATACTGATACATGGGCTCTACTCCGAATCAATTAAATAAGACTCTCTGGAGGCAGGCCCAAGCATCTGTATTTTTTAAAGCCCCACCCGAGGAATTCTGATTTACTGGTCTGGGGTACAGCCTGGGCACTGGGCTTGTTCCATGGTCTTCAAGTGATTCTGAAAGCCTTCCCTGACCACCCCGAGGAATCACTGCTTTCTCCCCATCTCCTAAAACAGTGCAGAAGAACATGGAACAGGCCCAGTGCCCAGACTGCACCCCAGACCACTAGCTCAGAATTTCCCTGGGTGGGGCGCAGGCATCGATTATTGCTCAAGTTCTCCTGGTGAATCCAATGCCCAGCAAAGGGTGGGAACCTCCACCCTAGCTCCTGCAGCCCTTGACGGCAAACGTCTGCTTCCCTGAAGAGGGTCCATCCACATGGGCTTGAGGCTGCATCTATTGAAAACGCATTGACATGATCTGTGACTTACTTTCTGCCTCTCGGTATTTACATGTGAACTAGCCTTAGAGCTCACCTTTATCTACAGGGCTGGGGGTCTCTTCATCCCATTACAACACCTTCAACATCACAGGCACTTGACGAAGAATGAACAGGTGAAGGAATACACAGAAGGATACATATTTATTTCGTCAGGAACTTGCTGACCACACAGGCGCCACAACTAACGTGCCAGTTTTGGAGACGAGGTGGCAATAAAGAGATTCTGCCTTCGGAAAATCATTACAAAATAACAAGTGACTCATCAGGTGGAGGTCCTGATCCCCGAAGCCAGAGGTAGAAATGAAAATACAAGGGGGAAAATGTTAAACTCCAAGGTAAGGCCACAGCTCACAGCTACACCTTGTTGACTTCTTAATACATTGGGGCGGGGGTGGGCAGTGGCCAAAAATTCAGTCCAGGTCCAAGGGCTTTACTACATAGACATAGCTTTAAAAAGTAACACATAGGCCCTGGGGCAGCTGCCGCTACACAGGATCTAAACAGAGGAAGCTGAGTTCTCCAGAATTTGCTATCGACATAGGTATATCATCTGTCGCCTTCAAGTACTGTTTATGAACTGTTCCCAAGAGCTAATTTTTTTCTGTGTCCTAGACCCCCACCGCTAATTCAATAATCTTCATAGAGCCTTCGTTCTAACACAGTGTGCAAAGAGTTCTGTGCCTTACTTCAACACAGCTGGAGGCACCACCAGATGGTTGCTGTCTCGGCCCCACTGGACGCGCGCCCCAGTGTGTCACTGCGCCCCCGGGTCTGCCGCCCGATCTAGGGCTCGGGAGTCCTCAGCCCACGGTGTGGGCAGGTCCAGCATGGTGGAGGAGTCTTTCCTGGGATCCCCAGTCACCAGCATCCAGTGGTTCTTCGGCTTTTCAACTCTGTGTGAATCCAGATATGTGTGAGCCGCGACCTCAGCTTCCTTTCCAAAATAGGTTCTGGGGTAAGAAAGAAGGAACACAGATTGGAAATGGAATGACAGCTCTCAGGAAGCTGCTCAATTCACCTCAAAAGCAGCTAATTCAGCAGACTGCCTTGTAATGCCATTGGGGAGCTCTAAAATATGGCACGTTTGCCAGGAAGTTTCACCCTGTTGGGGCAAGGATGAGGTGGACAGGATCCCATTATAACAACAGCCTCTTGTGAGGAAGGATTCGTATAACAGAAGGGGCTCTAATAGGATTTTTCACACCATCAAAGCTCTATGTGACAATATTTCATCATTAAAGGACTTGTTTTCTGCGTTGCCACGCTCTATTGAGCTTCTTTGCTCATATTCACAACCCCCACCCCCCAAGTGTAGCATTTTGCTGTACCCTGCAATGCAATACCTTAAGAAAAGATGCCGGTGAGCCGCCAGCCCCCGATTCGTGTGGCAGTGATTGATGAGAATTTTTGCATTTGCCTTTAAAGATAAAGAAAGTGTATTATTTGCATTATGAATTAAGGTCTCCAATTTCTTAAAAGCAAAAATTTGGAAATATACTATACTCATTTAAATTTAGTAAAAACATATATACATATATATACATAGATTAACCTAGAAGCCAAACCATAATGGATTGATTAAATACATTATTGTAGATACACATATGATGGAACATCATACAATCATTCAAAGTCATATTGGAGATGATATTTGACAACATGAGATATGGTCAGTGGTGTTTTTAAGTGGAAAAAAAATTATGTCCTAATGTTTTGTTTGTTAAATAAAAAATAAAAATAAACCAATCAGGGAAATGCAAATCAAAACCACAGTGAGATATCACTCAAACTTGTTAGAATGGCTATCATCAAGAAGACAAGAGACGACAAGTGGTGACAAGGATGTGGAGAAAAGGGAACCCTTGTGCACTGTTGGTGGGAACGTAAACTGGTTCAACCACTATGGAAAACAGTATGGAGGTTCCTCAAAAAATTAAAAATAGAACTACCACCTGATCTAGCAATCCCACTTCTGGGTATGAAAACAGGTTACCAAAGAGATATCTGCACTCCCATGTTCACTGCAGCATTATTCACAATAGCCAAGGTAGGGAAACAACCCAAGTGTCCAACAATGGACGAATGGATAAAGAAGATGTGGTGTAGACACACAATGGAATATTATCCTGCCGTGAGAAAGAAAGAAATCCTGCCACTTGCAACAACATAGGTGGACCTTGAGGACATTATGCTAACTGAGATAAGTCAGACAGAGAAAGCCAAATCTGTATGATATCTCCTATATGTGGAATCTAAAAAATTGAAATCAGAAAAGCAGAGAGTAGAATGGTAGTTACCAGGGGCTGGGGATGGGGGAATGGAAGAAGTGTTGTCTAAGGGTACGTGCTTGCAACTAGCAGAGAAATAAGCCCTGGAGACACAGTATAGTGATTACAGACAGCAAAACTGTATTATAAACATTAAACTTGATGAGAGACTAGATTTTAATTGTTCCCAACACTAGAAGAAACAATAATTATGTGACGTGATGGAGCTGTTAGTTAACGCTACTATGGCAAGCATATTGCAACATAACTTATCCAATCAATATGTCTTACACTTTAAACTTACATAATGTTGTGTGTCAAATAACATTCAATAAAAAAAAGAGAGAAAAAAATAAATTTAAAAAAAACACCATACGCATGGATAAAGACAGAAATGATAAAAACAGTGGCTTTCCCCAGAGAGTGGAACTACTGGTAATTTTCATATTATTTTTTGTGCTTTGCTGAATTTCTGTAAGTGTACATATGTTATGCTTTATAATCAGAAAAAAAAGTACGTATTATTTAAAAATCCTGACTCACGTAAACTAAAAGCTGCATGAGAAAGAAAAAAGCAGCCCCTGACATCCGGGAGCTGGCCTGGCGCTCACAGCTCGACCTCAGTGTGCTCCAGCCGAATGGAATCAATTTCGCAGAATGTCCACATCAGACAAAGCCACTCTGTGACCACAATGGGTCAAGACAAAAGCAAGACCTTTCTGTAATCACGTCTGAAAACAGACAAAACATGAGCATCATCCAAGCCATGAAACACCAAACATCCACCTCTGCTGCCCAACATGAGTGACCACTGCTTCTTCACTAAGGACAGAGTTAGCCGTGCTCCGGCCTGTCCTCTCTATAGATAAGATGTACTGAGATACAGTCATAGAATTATGTCTGCTTTCTGACAGCATCCGACTGAGAGCAAAGCCCCACTTCCTGGGAAACTCCCTAAAATTGTCCAACCAAAGCCCAGGCTCTGTGACATGTCCTTTCCCACATCCTCTGACTGAGATGCCCCCCGGCTCCCCAGGTGTGCGTGCATTCTCCCCCGCTGCAGCAAGCAATAAAGCCCACTCGTTCACCCACAGGAGCTCCTGCTCACTCTGGCTGGAGGGCATCGACAGTGCAGCGTGGCTCAGACAGGCTGAGGCTCCCATTCCGCAGATTCACAACTGTGTCTGAGTGAGGCTCAGAGACCTGCCCCAGGCTAAGGCCTGGTTAGCAACGCAGAAAAGATCTCCGGTGCCTGCTCCTTCAACAACTGTAATAATAAAAACAGTGACAATATAATTGACACCGGTGAGAGCTGTGTGTGGGCCAGGCGCTTGTCTAATAAGCACTATAACTATACTAGTCATTTCATCCTCACAAAACCTCACAAAGTAAACATTATTATCACCCCTATTTCATGGATAAGGAAACTGAGACACCGACAGTCTAACTCATGGCAACGAGAGGCGGTTCCAAGGAGAGCAAAGCCTGGCAAACGCCAGTGGAAGAGAGATTTGTCGAGCTTGTGTCACCATGGACCATGTGTATATTCTCCATGCTGAGAGAAAGAACCTTGTGAACCTGAGTCTGCCTGCAGGGCTCGAGGGAGAAGCACGCTGTGCTGGGAGGATTCAGAGTGGCCATAACCAGGGGCCCCTTCCTGGATGGCCACCTCAGCTGGCCAACGCTTTAAATCCTTCTTGCTGTAATTCCACACTCTTCCAGTGACTTCTATCAACTCCTCACTCTCTGTCTGCTGGATGCCTCATGAGAGAGCAGCAGAGTCTCTGGCCCTCAAACAGCTCTGTGCCCACCAGATCTGCATTCCCACCAGGACTGTGCCTTGGGCTCCAGTCCCGCAGGGCCCAGGGTCCTGAGAAAATGTCCAGCAATGAGGAGAAAGATGCTGCCCTGGGGAGCCACTGCATTCGCCTGCGTGGCTGCGTTGCTGTCTCCTTCACTTCCCCAGGATTTCCCAGTCTCTTTAGAAATGAGGACTTGACAGAGGCCTAGAAGAGAGCAGTGTCATAATCCTTACTGTCTCGGATCAGTGGTTCTCAGCCTGTTCTCAGGGCAGGGCCCACGCCTCAGTATTTTTAAAAAGCTCCGTAGGTGATCCTACTGTGCAGCCAGAGTTGAGAAACACCAGAGCAGGATGCTACCACAGGGCAAAATAGACCCTTCCAAGCCTGAGTCATAAATGAAAAAAAGGGAGAGTGCATAAGGCGTTGGAGCTATGAGGAGCCTCCAGTTTTCCAGACAGGAGTCAAGCGCATCCATTTAGGAGTGTCAGCACACGTGCGTGTCCTCCCCCGGCTGTGCTCACCGGAACCGGGAAGCCTTCGTATTCCAGGCGCAGCTGGGGGTCGGGGAAGGCAGCCTGCCAGGAGCTCAGGTAGGAGACCTCGTCTGTCAGGTACACTTCCTGGAGCCAAGACCTCTTCGACGACTTCAGTAGGGTCCTGTGGTCACTTGATAAATATAACTGAAAATGACAGCAGACAGATGAACTACGTTACACTATTTGAAAAGCCAGGGAAATCGGAAGCAGTCAACTGGCTGGATGGCAAGCGTGTTCAGAAGAAGTTTTCAAAAGCCCTGTTCTTACTGATTGTATGAGAACACGCAGTTCTCCTCTACCTTAGAAATGCCATCTTGGGATGCTGAGACCACCCGCCCCCCCATCACCTCAAACTGCTTTCCCTTTCTTTGAACACCAAACCTAGTCTCCTGCTCTCTGCTCATTCCCGTCCCTGCTCCCCTCCTCCTCTTTTTTAGGGCATAGGACCTGGATCAATATTTGATTTATTACAAATAATGTTGCATGAAACTCTTTGCATGAAGGGAAGTGCTCTTAAAACCAACATCATCACAGCTGATATTCATTTGTGAGCCTCAGGGGTCTACGCCCCTCTGGAATTGACGTCCACACTTAAAATCTATCTAGGCAGCTCTCTGGCTGCCTGTAACTTTGCCAAGAACCACCCCATCCTGCCGAAAAGTCCAAAATGTTAGCTCCTCGTTAACTCTCTCTGCTGACTCATCTTCACCCTGAACCTGGAGGTCATGCCTGCAGATTTTAATAGGTCTTCAATAAGCACCTTTCATATGCAAAGCTGTGCCTTGAAGAGCTATGTGGAAGGCAGAAATGAGTTACTAACCTCAAGAAGTTTTCCAACTAGCAGGAGAGATGACCGAGGATAGAAATGGGAAGCACCTGTAAGGCATGGCTGTCCAGCAGGATGCAAAGAGCCGTAGGAGGGCAGAGGCGGGAACACAGGCTCTCCAAGGGGCTCAGGGAAGACTCTGAGGAGGGGGTGACGGGGTGCCAGGGAGCCAGAGGGGATGAGCATGGACAGGGAGGGTGGGGATATATTACAGATGCCACAGTGAACAGCAACACTTAATTCAGAGGGCAGTGGAAGCCAGCGCTGACTTTTCGATGTAGATGGGAGGAGACCAGACCTGAGCTTTTCAAGGATCAACCTGTCAGCATCCCATCTTGTGTGGTCACAAGTCAGGATAGACTGGAGGGATCAAGCTATGGGGCCTAAACAGTGGTACTGGCATCAGAATGAAAAGACAGGCCAAACTGCCTTATGAAGGGACAGCTGTGGGCCTTGACAATCAGCTGGATGTGGGTGGCAGAGAGAAACGGGTCAAAGATTCACTACGGCTTTGGCCCTGGCTGATGGAAAGAATGATGGCGCCATTCAGAGCAACAAGAAAACCAGGACTTCAAATGGCAGAGAATATCCATCTCAAACCACAAACTCCATTTTGTTAATGTAAAGAAAAATAACAATAAAATCAGGAACAAATCGAGAAAGCTACTATCACCAGATTTTTTATAAACGCCCCAGAAGTGCTTGCTAATTCAAAGACAAGGAATAGAAAGGAGAGGTATAAGAATCTAAGAAAAGATAAAATTGTCATCATTTGAAGATGAAATGACAATACCCAGAAGTCATAGAGAATCAACTGAAAAACTATTAAAATGAATAAGAGTAAGTGATTTCATCAAAGGTGAATATAAAAACCAATGGCTTTCTGATAGTCTTGCTGCAGCATCAAAAGGATCTCCCCTCAACAGCATCCAAAATAAGACACACTAGAAATGACCTCACGAGGTTGGTGTCAGAGGACGTGAAGACAACCGCAAAACTTTCTGAGAGATATAAAAAATAAATAGAGAGACATCTCAGAAGAATAAATATTGTAAAGCTACAAAATATGTAAATTTACTTAATTTTACAATGCTGATCAAAATACCAAGTGATTTCTTCCCACAAGGGCAGAGGGACTTGGAAAAAAATAATTATTATATTTAGCTAAAAGATTAATTCCTAATATAATTCAGACAAAGAAGTGTAATGAGAGAGAACTAGCCCTACAAGCTGTCAAGTTGTAGTTAGAATAAGTATACTATAAAGCCATAGACCTAGAATAGAAATAGACAACTCTGGTTCAAAGGATCAAAACAGGGAGCTCAGAAAGAGCATGGAGTATGTATAATAATTTACTGCATGTTAATGGAGGCAGCATGTGTCCGTGAAGAGAGGAATAATTATTCAAGAAATAAAAAAGAGGGCCGGCCCCGTGGCTTAGCGGTTACATGCGCGAGCTCTGCTGCTGGAGGCCCGGGTTCGGATCCCGGGCGCGCAACGACGCACAGCTTCTCCGGCCATGCTGAGGCCGCGTCCCACATACAGCAACTGGAAGGATGTGCAACTATGACATACAATTATCTACTGGGGCTTTGGGGGAAAAAAAAGGAGGAGGATTGGCAATAGATGTTAGCTCAGAGCCCATCTTCCTCAGCAAAAAGAGGAAGATTAGCACGGATGTTAGCTCAGGGCTGATCTTCCTCACAAAAAAAAAAAAAAAAAAAATAAAAAAGATACCACTGACTAGTCATTGGGGAGAAATTTAGATGCTCACAGAAAATCCTTTATTAAAATAAATCCCAAGTGAACTAAAGAATAAGCTTACACAGGAGTAGACATCTAGAAGTTAACACAAGTTTCTCTTTTTATCACGTCTTTGGAGCAGACTTTAAAGGGTCTGAGCAACGGAAGGAATTACAAAGAAAAACACTGATAGATTTTACTCAAAAATAGATTAGAACAACTACAGTTTACAAGCCAAATAACAAATGGAAGGACGTATTAGCCACAAACATGAAAATTGTATAATCTGTGAAAGAGCAGATCTAGAAACCCGAATCAATAAACAGGCGGAGAACAGATGATTTACAGGAGAGAGAAGGAGAGAAGAGATGGGAAGAGAGAGAGGAAGGGAGAAAAAAGGAGAGAGAGAGACACAAAAAAAAAAGAAAAGGAAAAAAATGATATCTAAATGTCATAGCACTTGTAATGTTCCCTGTATTTTAAGTCTATTCTCTCTCCCTTTATAAAAGAAAATAAGCCAAAATGTTAGTCATGCTAATCTCTGGACAAGATGATGAGGATTTACTCTCCTCTTTCAGCAACTTGGTCTTTCCTCTAATTTCTACATTTAAAATCAGGCTGCAGCTTCCCATCTATGGTATGTCACAGTTTAATTGCCAGCATTGATTTTTCTTAGTGGCACAAAAAAACAATAATAATTTCCCTTCATACAATAATGGAATCTTTGATTCAGTGAAAAATGTTATATCGTTACCAGCTCTGCCACTTAGTAGATGAGTGATTTGGAGCAAAATCACTTAACCTTGTTATGCCTCAGTTTCCCCATCAGTAAAATAGTCCCTACCTCACAGACTTGTTTGGAAGAATATGAGAAGCACGTAAGCATGTAGAAAGGTATAATAATTCCGATTTTATAGATGAGAAAGACTCAAAAGGGTTTAATAACTTACCCAAAATCCCACCCATAGGTATGCCTCTCAGCTGGAACTCAATCCCATATTTATCTGTTCTACTATGCCTCCTAATCCCCAAGGAGAGGTAAAGATCGAAGACTTATGCTCCCTGATTTATGCAAACTTAAGCATCTCCTATTGTCCTTCTCCCATATTAAACAGAAGTTTGACAATAAAAAGTCAAAAAAAAGTTGTCAGATGATATATCTTGCTAGCATTGGTGACATTAAACAGCTATCATTATTATTATATAATCCATTCATTTGGTATAAATTTTTGCTTTTTGCCAGCTGCATTGCAAAAAGGTTTTTTTTTCCCTTGCTCTTTAACTTTTAAGGGTTATTTTTGTAATTTGCAAAGTTAGAGGGAAAGAATTGGCCCACAACTGCCTGTGAAAAGCTGCACGCTGAAACCACAGGGAAGCCAGAGATGGAGCACATGACTGTTGAGTTCTCTGTCCACTGCAACAGGCAGCCAGTAGCCCACATGGAAACCAAAAGGGCTGGTCCAAAGTAGACATCGTTGCATGGTGACTCACCATTTTGTCTTCAAATCCTCCTGTTATCCCGAGGCAAAAGTTCTGCCCGTATCTAAGAACTTGACCGACGGCGTCTCTGTCTGCACTGTAGGTGGAGTATAAATATAACATAAATTGGCTGTATTAGAATCATTCTACAGCTCTACTTTTTGTACATGCAATTTCATTTATAATTTTCTTGATAATGTATATAGTCATGTACCATAACTGAATTAAGTGACTAAACAAAAGGTCTTTTCTTTTGGCCTTCAAATCCAGCCAGCACCCCATTCCCTGCCTTCCAGCATCGCCAGGACACAGAGCAGCATCCCCACTTTGTCAGCCTAGAGCAGGCTGAGCATATCGTGCCATCCTACACTAAGGAACTGGGTCAAGAACCCTGACATCCTTAGAGAGAACCAGGGTAACATGTTTGTAGACATTTAATACAATCTTCCTTCTTAAGCCTCCAGGAAACAGAAGTTGTGATCAATTTTTAGTTGTCTTAATGTAAATTATATGTATTCAAAAGAAATCTAAACTAAAGACTTGAAGGATTGGCTACATTCCTGTAATATAAACATTGCCATCATAATTTAGTAACAAAGTGAAAGCAACATTTCAAATAGTAATTACATATCTGTTCTCTAAGGATTAAATGCTCATTTTCACAATCTCCTCAAGTACATTTTTAGTGGACAATTAATTTTAAAATAACAAATCCCCATGGAATGCCACCTTCCATTAAACTATATATTTCTGATATAAAAATAACATAACAACATTAAAAACAATAAAAGCACTCAAATGAGCTCAAAGCATTCTGAGATGCTATTAGGAAAACCCACCTCGCTTCTAGGCGGAATATGAATTTAATTCCCTGGATCTAATACCTTTGAATTAAGCATTTTGAATTGAACACAAATTATCGATTATCCTGACATTTAAGATAAAGGGATGGTAAAGGTCCCTTGACAACAACCCTCAAGATAAGAAAACAAGATGAGAATCCCAGAGAATGTTCGTGTAACCTTGGCCTCCCATCAGCACTGCTCCAATCCCGGGGTCCTTCAGCTACAAGTGTAAATAGATCACTATGATGAAAGTTAAAGCACTTTACCTCAAAATGATGAAAGTGTTTCTGCCGACCGGGACCATGGCTGGAGCTGCGCTCAGGCCACAGGGCACCTCTAACTCGTCACTCAGATGGGCTTTAACTTCATCCGGAGTCACACACAGGCTCAGGTCCCCGCCCAGAAACAGAGCAGTTTCTGTCTCCGGATGGTCGGGATTCACAAGCATCACTTTGTCGCCGTAGTGAATGCATCCATCTTCAGATATGGAGAGCTGCATCTACAGTTTAAATAGGAGCTTTTCAAATAAACCATGCAATTCCTTAGCAGCCAGTGCCAAGGCCACTGCTGATCCATCTTCTTTTCTTCTCAGACTAGGATTCATTTCAATAGGGGATCCACTCGGATTCCCTCAAACCCTTAGTTTTCTTCCCTTTCCTGCCACTAATCCCCTCCCACTTTGCCAAAGCAAAGCCCTCAATAATCCAAAATGAAGTAAAATGAAGCTGATGAAAAATCACATGCGTTGACTCCATTAATTCATTCATTCAACATTTATTGAAAATTTCTTGAGCACCAACAAAGGGGCATTTTACTTACGCGTTTATTAACCTATTCAGTTCTTGATTTGGAAAATGCAGGTAAACGTAATTAACAGCAAACTGCTCATAGGTTTCTAAAATCTTAGGGAATTTTAAACATTGTCGTTTTCAGACCCAAAGAGAAAAACTGGTATTTTCCAAATGATAACTCATTTATGGAATTTTCGCTCGTTTAACACATGCTCACACTTAATTTGATAGAATTCTGAAAACAAGGTTCCAATTTAAAATTACCTGTCTCAAAAGATTCTCTTTTAGTCTTCTGTTTCTCTGTATGAGAAGCTGTCCCTTATCCCTCTTCTCCAAGAAGTCTTTCATGAGCTCCTAGTTAAAGAGAAAATGAATAAAACTCAAAGAGTCAACAACAGTCCTGAATAATACAGATACTGGTAGCTTTTAGGTCAGAAGCACATCAAGTTGAAAAGGCAAAGTCTGAGAACCTAAAAAGAAATGTGAGCGTAATAGGAATGGTGGAAAATTTGTTAGCATTATTTTAATATTTTTATTTCATTGTAGAATGTTTAGAAAAAATGAGAAAGGCACAAAAAGGAGACATGACCTGTAATTACAGAGACAATCATGAGTAACATTTGGAGGCAATGTGTCCCCTCCTGAGGTCTCCCCTGGTCGGATGATGATTGACACTGAAAGATCCCCCCACACACACAACTAGTTCCATACACGGATGACCCAGTGCCTTGTCAAGACCAGCACAGGAGAAGTCAAAGCAGTGAGTATAGGTCAGTAAAAGGGATGCTGCGGGGACACTCGGGAGGGTGTGTGTGTGGGTATGGCGTTGGGGGGTGGGGCGGGAGACGGGACAGGACGGCACAGAGCTTCTTTTTAGAGCCTGCCTCCTCACCTGAACCGCAGCCTCTGAGCCTGGAAGAAGCCACGGAACGGAGGGAACTGAGTGGGGCCCTAGACTAAGGGAGAGGCACGGGGGGGCTCCAGAGTCAAGGCACCCGAGTTTGGGAGGCCAAGGGACCCAGGGCAAGAGGAGAAGGGCGTGAGGTCTGTGTTTGCGGGACCCCAGGTGAGAGTCCTTGGGCGTTCGGAGAGGGGCGGGATTTTAGGGGTATTCGGTGCGCGCCAGGTGAGAAAGGAGGCTTGGGATGCTCAAAGTGGGGGCCGACCTTAGGGCGGGCTTGGGGTCCCTGAGCAGTACCTCCTCCAGGTAGACGTCCTCGTTCCAGTTGCCCATCCGGACTCGCGGGCCATACAAGTTCTGCGCCATCGTCCCTGGCTCTCCAGCGAGCAAACCTGGCTGGGACGCCGCCTGCCTTAGCGTGCCCCGTCGCCATGACGACCTGGCCCCGTGCGATTGGCCAAGGTCCGGGACCCTGCTGGTCAATAAGTGACACGAGTGGCGCGAGGCTCGCACGGGCCCCACCCCGGGCGCCGTCGCTCCGCAGTCCGCCCCGCTTCCGTCGCTTAGATTTTCTGAGTTTAATTGCGACGGGGCGAAAGGAAAACTTCCAGCCTACAGACCTCATCGTTCTAAATGCTCTCTAGAGAGAAATTTAAAACTTTTTTTTCTTTTAGAATCTAAACGAAAATCACTGTTAAAATAAAGCATCCCTTGCTTGTTGAGGCAGCAAAGAGGAGCTTTTAAATGCAAGCAGAGCGGCCTGTTTTTATACTCAGCAGCAATTTCGCCCTAATCATAAAGCAATACATGCTTAATGTAAAAATTTGGAAACCGAAATGACATGGAAGGAAGGAGGAAGGGAGAATTAGTCAAAATTTCACCGGCCCAAAAGTAAGAAACATATATTATAAACAGAGTATTATTTTATGAGCAGGAGGGATAAACAGTTACCGTAGGACTGCCTGGAGCTTGATGCTGATTGAATGTGCTCAGTAACTCACCTTTATTTAGTGTCTACTAAGACAAGACAGAAATGAAAGACACAGGAGCCTTTTCTCCCTTCAGCAACTCCATCTAAAAGAGAAGATAATTCACGACAACAAATTACTTCGGGAAGAATAAGATAAGTGCAATTAGAGCTGTGCCAATGAAGGACCATAGGAATTTAAAGCAAGATTCGTTTCTGCCTTGGGGGAGTATGAGAATGAGAATCAGGAGACCTCTGGGTGACCGAGGGAGGGGACTCTGGAGCTGAACTGGGAAGGATCTGAGCTGGCAGACTGCAGCACGGGATACAGATAGGAACGTGCTCGCACACGGCTGAATCCTACAGCACCACATTCTAGGACACTTCAAAGGATAAAAGGGACAGACAAGGCGGGTCAGATATTATACCACTAACTGCATTTGATAAACTAAGAAACAGAGACTCAGAGATGCTAGCCGCTCATCCAAGTGCAAACCGCTACCAGTTGCTCAAAGCAGGGACTCAACCCAGATTTTCTGACTCCAAAGTCCATGTTTTTTCTCTAATCATTTCCATGTTCCCTGTAAAACAGGACTATGATGAGGCAACTTTCCTTTCCATATGACTTAATAAGGTTCTAATGGTTCGGTTATTTGGTAAATCCTTACACCAGTAGAGCTTTGCTCTCACCTGCTTCCTCTGTGCTGTTACTGTCAAGTATATTCCATTCCTGTATCTTAGAGGCCCGGCAATACAATTACTGTATATACTTATTGTTTTATAAAATTGCTTTTTAAATCACTTTTTTATGATTACATACATAACTATCTCTACTGGTGCTCTTGGCTTTTCCGTATGGATGCAGATCACAGCCTGATATTACTTGCTTTCAACCTGAGGAACCTCCTTTAGTATTTCTTGTAAAGCAGGTCTGCCGGCAACACATTCTCTCAGTTTTTACTTACCTGCTGATTTAACCTCCATTTTTGTGAGGTTGTTTACTGGACATGAGCCTCAGTTAGAGTTTTCCTCTCAGCACTTTACATACGCCCTCCTCCTGCCTCCTGGCCTCGGTTGTCTCTAAGGAGAAGTCTGTACCAAGCTGACTGAAGCGCCCTCCTGTGCTGACAGTGTCTGCGGGGCTCTTCCTGCCGTCACGATGTTCTGTCTTTCATCATTGTGACTAGTCTGGGTGGCAATCTCTTTGCGTTTATCCCACTTGGAATTTGTTGAACTTCTTGGATGTGTAGGGGTTTTTTCCATCAAATTTGGATTTGCCATTATTTTTTTGATCATTTTTCCTGCTCCTTTCTATTTCTCCTCTTCTTCTGGGACTCCTATTACATGTATGTTGGTGCATTTAATAAATGTCCTCATTTCTCTAAGGCTGTATTCATTTTCCTTCCTTCTTTTTTCTCTCTGTCCTTCAGATTGCATAATTTCTGTTGTTTTATCTTCAAGTTGCTTATTCCTTCTTCTGCCTGCTCAAATCTTCTACTCCTTCTGTCTAGTGAATTTTTCATTTTGGTTATGGTAATTTTCAACTCCAGAATTTCCACTTGGTTCTTTTTTAACATTTCTTTACTAATAGTCTATATTTGATGAGACATTGTCATCACACCTCTCTTACATTTTTTAATAATTGTTTTTCTTGGTTCTTTGAACATATTTACAATAGTTGCTTTGAAGTCTTTGCTAAGTCTGACATTTGAGCCCCCTCAAAGCTGTTTTTTTCCCCTGGGTATGGGTCACATTTCCTGTTTCTTTGCAGGTCTCATAATTTTTTGTTGAAAACTGGACATTTTAGATAATATATTGTAGCAACTCTATATACTGATTCCCCACCCTCGGTGCCTGTTGTTGTTGGCTCATCTGCTAGTGTATCATCTGTTTAGTGACCTTGGCTGGGCTAGCTCAGTGAAGTGTATTCCCCAACAGTGTACGGCCCTCTGATGTCACTCTTCAGGGGTGCAGCCTTGAGCATGCATGGAGTCCTCAAGCCCCTAAATGAATCCTAATATGATAAACAAAGTAACATAGAGAAGCATCTCACAGCTTACACAACAGGTGGATTTAAAAGCCAGGTGATAATAATAAAACTATAAATAAGCACACAAGAAGTTTTCTAAAACATTTTTTTACTGATTTTTACTATATTTTTGAAAAATTATAAAATGTTTATTCCATACATAATTATAGAAAATTTTTAATTTACAATCCTCAAAAACTTTCAAAGCTAAGATTAAATCAGAAATACTCTCATCCATTGCTGGTCACTGTGTAATTTACTCGGTCTTTAATTAGCAATAAATACCTCGAGATCAGGCCACTGTTCCCTCCCATTTATAGTTATTATGATTTTGACATAAACCAGGTATGTACTGAAAAACTTAGTTGCTATTTTTTTTTTCATGATTTGATGAGGCGCTTGGAAAATTTTAATTGGAGCCTTTTGTTACTTACTTGTGAAACATCTGGCAGGAAAAGAAAAGCCAAAGAAATACTTGGACATCACCATTTTTAGAAAAGAGAAGTAGGACAAAGTTCAGATATTGGGAAAGAGAAATGAGAGTTATAATCTTAGAAGCAAGTAGCTTCCAGGGTGCTGAAAATAAGTTTTAAAGTCCTCATCGGGCCGGCCCTGTGGCTTAGCGGTTAAGTGCTCGCACTCCGCTGCTGGCGGCCCGGGTTCGGATCCCGGCCGCGCACTGACGCACCGCTTCTCTGGCCTCACTTCTCTGGCCATGCTGAGGCCGTGTCCCACATACAGCAACTGGAAGGATGTGCAGCTATGACATACAACTATCTACTGGGGCTTTGGGGGAAAATAAATAAATAAATAAAATCTTAAAAAAAAAAAAAAGGGCCAGCCCTGTGGCTTAGCGGTTAGGTGTGCGTGCTCCACTGCTGGCGGCCCGGGTTCGGATCCCGGCAAAATTAAATAAATAAATAAAATTTTAAAAATAAATAAATAAATAAAGTCCTCATCGGATGACAAATATTAGTCATCAGAGTGCAGTAAAGAAAAAAAATGGGATTGAAGCTCCTTTCACTAAGCTTACGCAAGCATTTTTGTCTCTGAGCCTCAGTATCTCCATCAATAAAAATGGGTGAAAGATAACTTTACTGATAACTCTCTAGGGAGCATTTCCAAAATACTCTGTTGTATGTTAATAGATACGGAGCGGGAAAGATTTCTGTTGTCAATAAACTTGAGAAATGCTGGGTTGAATAAGCTTCTTTATTGCAGACCTTCTCAGAGCCTTGGATGTAATTGCATGCACCATAAACCTACAAAAGGATGATAACGCATACTGCATTGCCCAAGTGAAGTTCATCACGGAATCCTCTTTTTAAAGAATCATCTGCAAGACCAATGTTTAAGCAACGCTGATTCAGAGATTCTGTGAGGCTCAAATGAGATACTAATATAGAAAATGGGTAGGATGTGGACACGAACATAAAAGAACCAAAGTAAGCACTTTCCAGAGGAAGCAGAACGAGCAAAGGAGCATGGAAGCAAAGAAGTGAGGGGTATCTTGAGGGCCAGAAGGAAACACAAGGCAGTGAGCGCTAGGGGAGAAGATGGTGAGGGTCTGCGGGACCACGGCGAGAACTGGGGACTGTCCTGTGTGTGGTGGGGAGCCAGGCAAGTTCCTGAGGAGGGCGCGGGCAAGGGGCAGAGTAGAGCGGTCAGCACCTTGCTGGTGCTGCGGGCTGCGGCCTGCGTTTCAGGCGGACCGGCCGAGCTTGGGGCAGGGAGCCCAGCTGAGAGACAACCTGGGGGAAGTGAATTGAGGAAGGCAGTTGCGGCGGGAACAGAGAGATGGAAAGGAATGGGAAAGAACCACAGTCAATAGCGTCAGCTCCTGGACGACAGCGACGCAGTGCGGGCACCCTTTCCTCTGTTCCTTCCTCCAGGGTTCACTGCTCACCAGCACTGTGCTCAGCGTTCGGGAGGCGGGGACAGAGACAGCGCCATGGGACCTGCCTTGTGGAGACTCAAGTGGACGCGACACCCTGAACCAGTAGGTACACGCGGGAGGCATGGTGCCAAAGGGTCAGTGCAGGGGAGACCTCTCCACAAGGATGTCAGCAAGTGTTTCCAGCTAAACGCCAGCCTTTGATAAGGTCCTGACGGGACCACACACCCATGTTGTTAGTGCCTCGTCTTCTGTCCTCTCCAAAGACTGGTATCTGACCGAGACAGGGTCTCCTGGTCTTTTCTGTCTCCATCTGTTTTCCTTCTGGCCACACCAGACCCCAGGGGAGAAGACCACCAGCACTGCACTTCTGATTCTCCCCGACCAGAGCCCAGCATTCACCCCTAGGCCCGTGGGACCAAGTCCCCTCAGTCCTTCATTGTTGCCCTCGGCAATCTTGCAGTCAATCGTCAGTCCCCTCCAGCAAAGCTGACCTCTTTGGTGATAGGCTGGCACATACCCTGAAGCCCTGACAGC